TAGTTTAACGACTGTTGTATATGCCATGTATAGTATTGCTCCTTGGCAACCCTTTGTCAAAAAGAGAGTCAAGAAAACCCAAGAGTATATATGAAGGGCCGAGAAACGAGATTGGACATGATTTCTTATGGTATATAGCTATTATAAAAAAGTTGTTAGAGCGTAACGGCTAATTTATGAAGAATTTATATGAAATAAAAGTTTTAGTAGAAAGATAGAGGGCTAAGAAAGCAGATCATTCCGGGCGAAAAGACTCCAGAAATAAATTCTGAAAAATTGTTTGCCGACCTCCCTGGCATCCGAACCAACKATCTTCGAATTTGCTATACGGGGACGTGCCGCTGGCCAGGGTATGGTTTTTGGCCTTGCTGTCTTAAACAGGGTATACATTTCACCCGAAATTGTCTTAAACAGGCTCTACAATTTAGATAAAAGAGAACCGATATAATTTTTTTGTGTGTCTTGGACAGGGTAATATTTTCATAACACCGTTTCACTGTCCCAGAATTAACGTGTTATCACTGAAAACTTCTTATTGTCTTTGATGGATGTCAGTATAATTGCAGTTTTGATGGTTGCGGCGTAGATAGCTATTCCTTATTTTTCCGATTTGTCTTGAACAGGGTATGGATCTTTACTTTTTAGTGTCTGAAACAGGGTCAGGGATTTAGACCGGATTTTTAGATTTAATGGCGGGCAAATCTTTCGTCTCGAGAAAAATCCCAGATGATAGCAGGCTACTGTATTTTAGATTTGACAGCCAAAGCTATCGCAAATACATGCCGCCTGCATTAGAAAAAGAGTGACGTCACCTGTTTTAGCGTGCGTTATTATTAAGATTTGATTATGATTTGCAATTTAATCACAGAGATGGACCAGAATGGAAACATCTTAGAAAAGCGGTGCAGTCTAAAATGATGAGACCAAAAGAGCTGTACGACAATATCCAAAGCTTTAATCRGGTTGTTGATGAAGCACTTGACAGCATCCGTCGGGCGAGAGGACATGGTACATCTGAAGGTGAAATCCCTACTTTATCACAGGAATTATCAAAATGGGCCATGGAGTGTAAGTTTTTCTACAACAATATTATCAATATTCTAATGCATCGATGAGTTGTTTGCATATTCATCATTGGAATCACTGGAATCACTGGAATTTMACTTAAAAATTACTAAAGTTTTGGGCTTCCTTTAGTGACTCAATGCCAAATATGGAAGCAAACAAGATGGCCAGTTTCTCAGTARTCTATTATACCTGTAAGATTCAAACTGTGTTTAAAAATGGGAAATAAATATTGCCAAAAACAAGTGCTTAYGTATACTTTAGATAATTTCAAATTGAAATATATGGCTTCTAAACGAACAGCAATATTTTTAGAAAATTCATTAATATCCATACACTTGGTAATTTGCTGTTGTGTATGCATGCAACAGAGGCAACCGTTTTAGGAAGTTAGAACATCGCGATGTACAGCAACGTAGAATGACAATAACAGAAATTACGCTCAACTAATTATGACCTTACGACAACTTTGAAAAAAGTASAATTTTGTCTCTTCGGGTCTTGGTCCGGCAACGGACGACATATCTATTGTTTTCTTTTTATGTACTATAYAAAATATGAGCGGGAGACCTTTATGGGCTTATAAAACTGCGAGTTGTATACAGGACGTTGGACGCGAATATTYTATATTGCTTATCAAATTCTAACAGAAGGCAAAGCATATTTCGCAAAAAAACATTCAAGATAAGATATCATTTGTAAGAGAAAATCGAAGTTAAAGTCGTATGCAAATCAGGACAAATCTCTTGCTCATATAAAGATACGGTCACGGCAATGATTTTTCCATTGCGTTTGCCTTATGAATTATTAATGAATTTGATAATATTTTAATATCAAAACAAAAAATTACAAGATGAACTTATATTTATGATTTGTGAATACAGAATATATAGAAAAACAAAGTACGCAAAGTTTGTTTGCGCAATTTATGCTATGCCCTTAAAAGCCATTACCTTAATATGTGTAAGCTTTTATGTTTACAAAACATAAAATGCCATGTGATGTGTTTTATTTCAGCAATTGGCGTACTTGTGTTCGACGCAAAAATAGGCCTCTACGATGATCCACCGAGTCAAGAAGCTGTTGAGAGTATACAGGCTGTTGAAAACTTGTTTAAAGCCTCTCACAGCCTTGAATTTGGCATGGAGAAAATATTTTTCAAACTAAAGTTCAATACTCCATCACTAAAAATGTTACGCGAAAATCTTATATTTGGAAGAAAGTTCGCAAAGAAATACGTCAAGGCAAAAATGGAYGAAATGAAAGAAGATTCGGAAGATCCCGAAACGTTACTTTATGGGAAAGGTCAGTAGGCGTTAACAAATTATTTGGTTGCAAAAAGATGCAAACAATCCATGGACTTATTTACCTGCCGAATATTCACTCTCCTGATGATGCTGGTGTTCAGCGAAAGCTTGAGCAGAATTTAAACAACTACCACAGCAGCKTATGGTCTATTYCTCTGTATAATCCATGGACTTATCCCAGTTTTCCAAGTTCAAAAAACCTTACGAATTTCTTTTTCTTTTGATTAGCAGCTGTACCTTTGCTTAGCTTTTTGTTGGCAAAAGGAGATCTTTCCGTAGACGAAATTGCTGATTCTTGCGTGGACATGTTTCTTGGTGGGGTTGACACGGTAAGATCATCGATCATGGCGGACTTGTACAACATGTCCATGTTGTACGAGGGGTGTAGAAAGTTATTCGCAGCCTAGATTCAGAGGGAATTTTCATTTATCATGATTTACTTGCTGAATAGCATTATTCGTCCTTTGTGCAACAGGCGCCAAATCGAGAGACTTGGTACTATGTAATCGTCTCAGTATACCTATTTTTCARCCCAAAAAGGATACTATTTGCGCAGTAAATACTTTATCTTGAATGGCAAACTTTAGTTTAAGGTAATAACTTCTAAATTCCAGTTGCAAGYCTTATGTTTTTAAACTACAAGTGACCAAAAACGATCTTTTTATCAGCATGGTTGACTCAGAATCCCCCCATTCTTTGTTAAGAAGCCCAATGTTTTCAAATYTGACGCGCGCTTGAGCGGTCATCGCCGTATGGAAATTAGGCGGCATCGGCCAATATKTCCAGGCATTCTACGCCATGATACGAAAAAAAAAGTTGTGAGCTTGATTCTCAGAAGATGTCTTTTGGCAACTASATACAAAGGGTTTGCAGCATCATGTAAAATACATTTTGAACATGATAAAACTCCAAGGAGTTCTTTTGCAGACTTCTACTCTTATGGCATGGGCACTGTACAGATTGGCAACAAATCAAGATGTYCAGGAACGACTTCGCCATGAGATCTTAACAGTAACTGGTAAAGATGGTGAGCTTGCTCCTAACGATATGGGAAAGATTCCATACATGAAGGCATGTATGAAGGAAGTGTTGAGGTATGATATAAGTTAAAGGTTATCAAATCTACATTAAATGTTTGTGAAGTTAACGTTGAGAAGCATTATATGTATCTACGGATTGTATCTAATGAAGCATTGGCTGCTATGCCGTAGGTTGTTTGCAGTTGAACCCAAGCTTTCGCTGTCGACAGCATCGTCAGGGAAATCCCGCACGTTACAAGCGACTCGTTGTTGAATTGTTTGTTAACATATCACCGTTACACTTGATCTCTCAGCGTTTTACAAAGACTCTGTACTCCTTGTTCAATCTTCTTCATTCCCTGACGATGCTGTAGACAGCGAAAGCTTGGATTCAATAACTAACTACCTACACTGTAGCAGTCAAGGCTTCATTATATACAATCTTTAAAACATGGTGGAYTTCTTTTCTCTAGAAACCGATCCCCCATTGAATGCAATGCATTGAAAATCAAGAAGTGACGCTTTCAAAGAAGTCTATTTTCCATCTTGCTTTAGTGTAGACATCTTGTTGCTACGCATATCCATTGGCTATTAAAACTTCTATATTGTGAATAATTCATTTAGTAACATCCGTCAACAGTGATCTTTTTTTTTTGCTTTAGACTGGATGGTATTGCAATGGCCAATAATAGAATCCTAGACCAAGATGTTGTTTTGAGTGGATATAACATACCTGCAGGCGTAAGCATTGTTAAACGCGATTATTAATAAACCCTTTGACCGAAATGACCGCCACTATGAATATAGATTTTTAGTTCTATCCCTATAAAAAGAATGACCCTTACTTACCTGCAAAGATCTATTAACAATAATGCATGGAGAAATGAAATTTTCAAATTACAAACTGAATTTCAGATGTAGGCACATTTAAGATACATTTCTGTGTAGAAATACGTAAATTGAACCTGCTAGATYTCTATGTAGTGCCTACATGTCATAGATTTGCCACAGAAAAAGTTGTCCTTCGTTTGGCAGCCATATTTAGTAATTTTACCTTATTTAGAATTACGTGTGGACTAGTTGTTGGTGATTTTCTCGACTTTTAAAGCTTGAAATCGTCTGAAACTTGCAGATATCATTATTATATATCTCTGAACAATCGGTCATTTTCTTTGTTTCCATATATGGCATGGAAACTAAAATGCACAGGGATCCCGCACAAATGACATACAATTCTTTGATATGAAGGAATCATWTTCTTCATGTTGTTACAGAAAACAGAAAACACTAACTATTCCACATACTTTCGATGCTCATATGGATATTGGTTTTTAGATTCCAGTTATGCCAAACATTTACTCAACCGCTCGATCAGAGTCCTATTTCAAAGATGCTGAGGCATTCAAACCAGAACGCTGGCTGCGAGATAGTGAAGAGGAGTTCCATCCCTTCTCCTTTTTACCGTTTGGATTCGGTCCTMGGATGTGCATTGGTAACTTGATTCATGCAACAAAGAATTAATTCATTATATATACTACAAAAATTAATATCATTATTTTCTACCGTACTTGACATATATACACCATCATCCTTATCATCACTATCATCATTGCGCCACCACMAGTTACCCGTATAATCGATTTCTCTACTGACACTCACACTTAATCTATTAGGAAGGCGTACGGCTGAACTTGAAGTGATCTTATTCTTGTCAAAGGTAATTCAAMAAGACAAAAGTACACAAACAAGTGCAATATAGTTTTATTCTTTTTCCAGTCTCATTGTGAATTTCGGAGAGGCTTRTCTTCGAAATCTTAAAAAAATATTGAGATTTTGCATCTGAAAAGTCGCGTATTTAGAGACACTTGACGATGAACAAAGCGAAAAATACCGTTATGAGATCGATTCACCTAACTCCGGTATAACTACATGGTAAAATTAACTCTTCGTTGCCTCACTCCGGCCTTCTTTTCAATGTTGCGTGTAATGTTGGTTATATATGCATCCCATCAACATTGACTAGATGTCTGGGGTAATCTCCAATTTGTCGTAAGGATTGATGAAAATATCAAGTACATTTGTACTCCTGTTTTCTTGGTACAGTCTCACTTTATCTTTGGTCCTCGTTGTAGTTTTGTTACTTAATCCTGGAGTATTCTATGAAGCGCGGTCTCAAATTATGTCAGCAGTAATTTAAATAAGGCGTTTTATTGCTCGGAGGCCAATGTATCACACAGGTAGCCCATACAATACCTTACACTGACTATATGTATCTGCTATTTAATTAGGTCGTTCAGAGATTCAAACTGGAATACAATCACAAGCCTTTAGAGAAAGTTCTAACTTTGGTCCTCCAGCCAGAAGACAAGAATATCAAAATCAATTTCATTGATAGAAATTAAAACAAGCAAGTGGCTCACACGCGTCTTGGTTTTGTTGAATAAACTGAAGTGTACATTTTCTCTTTCATAAATAAACCCTCAAAACGACAAAAAGCCTTAGTAAATAGAAGTGGTCAGACCTATCAGGGCCACGTTTTCTTTAGAGAGGTATTTAGATGTAGAGTAGATTGCACCAACATTTTGAAAATGTACTATTTGTACAAAATASTCCAAGCTTTTATCGCATGTATTCTATATGATAATTGTAAATGTGAAATTTAAGCACTTTCAAAAWGTTCCAATAAAGTTGTTTATGTATAGAATATTCCTAAAAGTTTTTGTCAAATTATTAGTCTCAAATGAGCAAAAATGGCGGCAAAAGTTAATATTCTCATAATTCATAAATCTGCGAGCTCCAAGCCACTCTTTTCAATAAAAACTCTAAATTTACAGAGCTCCCTTTCGAAGCTCCTCCCTAAACAACCAGATGACTGAGCTTCCGGATCCCTGTTGCCAGAATGTAACTCGGAATAGGCAGTGCGACATTCATTCGCAAGTCAATAGTAATGTAATGTTTCATGTAATTTGCTATAATTTGCTTGGGTGATTTTCGGCTAATGTCGTGCAGTTGCGCAGTAAGATTTTTATCAAGAGACTGTATACTGTACACTTTGTTGGTTTCCTTGAGTTAATTGGTATGCATCAAACAGGATGTTCTTTTCAGTCCCCTTGATCATTTTGGTATATGCTGGGTGTGACAGGAGCATGRATCGATTTGCTTTCTTGTGTGCTATTTTGCTCTGCTCTGTCGAGGGTTTGAACTTGATTCTACAACAACCTGAAGTTATAAGTCAAATGAAAAAGCTGGAAGGTAAGATTTATTCGAATTACTTAGCTAGGAAAAAACATACAAAAAAGCACTGCCGTACAACCGCTTTAAAACATAACTTTTAAGTTTATACGAATACTGCTCAATTTGTTCAATTCCTTATTCTGTTTTATCTACACATAAAATGTTCACAAGTGTACGATAACGCTTAATGGATGCCTACTAAAAATGGTTTTAGACTTTTTCATACTAAGGAAATGCTCTTTATTTTGAGCTGAGGTAATAGTAACGGACTTGTATACTTGACGATTAAAGGTCATTAAACGTAATCAGTAAAAAGTAGCATATTGTCCACAAAATTGCCCTACATTGTCTTTTCAAATAACTGCTTTTCAGGAKAGTCAACATCTTCTTATTATCAGAAAATCAAGCTTAACAACAAAGAATTGTCTTGTGGTGTCATGCTAGAAAAGACAAACTATRGACAAGGTTAGAATGTTTTTAATGAGAAATCTCTGCTATTTCTCAAAAAGTCTTGAAATTTCCTTTTATTCTAAATACAGGGCAAGACCTGGAGTATTTAATTGGAGAGGTCGGTAGATGCGTGAAAAAGCCATCGCCTCCATCGAGCAATGAGCTTTCGAAGGTTGGTTCCAACGAATTAGTGCTGTTATGCAACGCGTTCTTCTTTTGTTCAGTATTCAGTGTYTTTTGCTCGYTTATTCGTTTCATCCTTCTTGTCTTTTTAAATCCCATCATCGATTATCATATGCATAATTATTATTTCTTGTTTTTTTAGTCTATCTTTTTTTTGTAATCATTTATATTCTACCTTAATGTTAAATACCTACCATTTTTTTACACATCAAGTTCAGATATTGTCCWTCAAAACATCTCTGCCTGGCATCCAAGGCCAAAACGAATACCGTCTTCACTCTATTTGGTAAACGAACAGAGTCAAGTGCCTCGCACTGCCAGTGCATTGACCCAAAAAATCCGTGTCATCGCGTGCCAAATATTAAAATACATCACGCAGGGACGTCCCACGAAACATCTGTTGACATTGGTCTGTGTACTGGACAATGTCATACCAAAAGAGGTATATAAGGCGATACAGAATATAGGAGTGAATCCAAGAAATTTCCCAGAGGGACTAGAAGGTATCCGTGTACCCAATGGTATGAGCCCCTATTGGTTCCGCCACTATGGTATGAACTAATTAACCTTTCAAAACCAGCTAGACATCACTTGCCAGGGAAARAGTGATCGACCTTCTTGCTTACTTTGGRATGTATCCTTCATTAGGGCATAAAAAATGTGAAGCAGTTTCTACAACTAATGTCAACATCAATGGACCCAATGGTGAGCCATGTAACGCCAAGCTTTTGCTTCAACTGCTTTACGAGACTTTTGTTTAAGCCTATATTACACTATGATAGTTTGTATATAATTATATTGTAAATAATTTTCTTAGGATCACAGTGTGTGAAGAAGATAATCAAGTGCGCATGTTCTCGTCGATGCTACCGCGTGTCACACAAACAGACTTACAAGTCTCTTCAGTTTGACCAAAAAACATCAGCTAATAGAACGATAGATGTGGTAAGAAATACTGCTCTGTGCTTTTTTTCTTTCCTTAGAACTGTTTATTCGGAACACATATTGAATTGTTAAAGCTGTATCTTCTTGTGATCAGTTGATTGATGTTGGTCGATGTCATGGCGGGTGCCGTTTGAAGAAAAAAMCAGACAGGTGTATTCACTGGTAAGTGATGGTAGATTATGCCTTTCGTTTGCTGTCTTGATCTTCCTCTCAGAGTATCTCAGATGGTATTAGACCAAATATGTAATAGGTGTGCTACGTCACGATGTTTTCAGGGACCTGTTTCCCACACGTAAAACTGTTTAGGGACTGCATTCCTCATCATGCTTTGTAATGCAAAATTGCGTCGCTGCACATTGCATTTAATCCCTCTCTAATTAACAGTTTCCCACGACACGCCGATTGGATCATTTTCCTATTGATTAAGTTATTGTTTGTGTTTTCGTAATAATTAGGATCAAGCAAAAGTCATATTCTGGTACAGCTCGAATGGTGTGCATTTTGAARGCGAATAAAGTTATGCCACCTCATTGTCTTCCACGCGTCTATAAAACCCGCTCTATTCCTGGTTTTGATGGAAACCAAAAAAATATTAACGTCATCAAACGATGCGGTTGTCAGTAAAGAGACGTGATGGCGGTCTAAGCACTACCGGCCAAACGAGAAATTTTGGAATTGACGAGCGAGGAACTACTGTAAATAGTTCAGTTGTGCAGAGTTAAAGGCATAGTTACAAATAAACTTTTAATTGTGGTTCTAACAATGGATTGTGGTATATTTTACCCAGTTCATCGCCCACGTATCAGGATTTTGAGTCATTTTCTCTTTTTCCGTATGAATACAGGGTTAGCCTTTACGCGGCGAAAGTGTACATTGCTAGGGATTTTGCACTTACAACATTTTCTCGTTAAGGTCTTTGCGTAAGAGAATCTGTTGTCAAACAAAGCAGCGGTTTTTTTTGCTTTAAATTCGAAAATGGAGCATTGAACAWACATTCGTGAATGAAACAAGATCACATATATTCTCTTCTTCCTAACCACCTAATCAACATATGATGCATTCCTCCTCTTGTGTCACCACAAGACAATTTAGGAATTTGTACAAAACTAAACGAAAGTGCTGTTTGTATACAGCTATTRAATTAACGCTGTCAGGTCGGAAAAAGGTGATAATATCATCAAAGCTAACATCAAAAGAAAGTACTTAGAAATTTAAATAATACTTGCCAAAACATTTTACATTATAGCATTACTTGTAGAGAAGGTCATAATTTCATTCAGTGCAGGCAATCTTTTTAACCATAAAACACTACTTATGATATTTGCTTTTCTATAATCATTTTCGGTCTTAGCTTTTAACCTTTTGGAACCCAACTGCGTTATCACAATGAGGTGTATCTACAGTCATGTTGTCCTACTGCAAGTCTATTTTTGTAAAAAAATTCATTTGAGTACTTGCTGCAAACTCAAAGCGTGTTTTTTTTTCAATTTATGGAAAAAGCTTATATGAGTAGAATTGTTACCGAGGGGAAGGGCCAGGCATTTAGGTTAGATAAAGGGGGCTTCACACTGCAGACATTCCCCTCTAGATAAATGGAATATAWAGATGAGTAGATGGCCAGTCCTGCCTCCCTTACGTTGACCTAACTTACACACAAGTGCAAGAAGTCACAATCATGTTATTTAGTTGTTCTATTTTTGGTTGACCCTTTACATAGTGAAGAATCACTAGTGGTTTGTACRAACTTGCCACACAGCACGGCTCGCTAGGTGCGTTGGGATTGATGGAGCTGTAGAGGGCCATGATCGATGTATGATGGGTCTGATTACTTGAGCCCCATAAGAATGGGCAAGTTCCCTTGCAGTAGTTGGCATGGAAACCTAGTGGTGCGTGTATCCAGTTCCATTTGAGATCTTTTTGGAAATCGATGTACAGCGAACGCAGGCAACAACGCTTTTCCGTCGGTCTCTGGTTGCAAAATGCCGAGTCGAGAGCACGACGGTTTCGCCGTCGCCTCTCGATTACATATCGATTCATAGGTATGTACCAAACCAACACATAGGGTTCCCATGACRGGGTACTCGAGCTGTCATAACCGTTCTGTTCCATTCCSATCTGAATGACTTTGACAAAGGCCATAGATTTAGGTSCCATTACYCTTTTCTTGACAGCATCAGTGACGTCGAGGTTTATATCAGCTTGTGAATCTATGAACTTGGAATCGAAGACTTGGGAGCATCCATTATGGATTGAGCTGCTAGAAAGTCGGTCCACCATACAAGCTTTAATTGTTGTTCCTTGGATGGCGGGGAAGTAGTTTGGGTCTATTCGCATTTCTGCTCGTTCAATTTGGCTTTCACCATTTAGTTGAGTCGCATCAAAGGTGAGAGTGTTGATGTCGAGAAGATAAAGTATTTTTGTTGCTGGATCTAAAAAAAAACATAAAATAATGAAATATTTAAAATAATAGAGCAATGATACAAAACACGTTAAATTTTTAATTCTGAGATGAACAGAAATAAGCTTGAAGCTTTCCGTATATATTCAGGACAGTTTACTTTCCATGCAGTGGTTATTACACCTATCGTTTAAATTACACGAAACCGTCTAATGACGATGAATGTTTATCCAGAGATATGAAGACGAGAAAACTATGATTGCTCTCGCGTAAACGCRCATAAGAATATGCGGTTGAAAACTAGTGTATAGACGCAGCCAATTATCGTTTCGAGTCAGGAATAAAAACGTTTTGTACTTTTCCTTATGGAGATTGATCGCGATGTGATGAAGATCATCTCGAAATCGAAATTTTTAAAATAAAAATTTGCCAGAACGTAGGAATTAAGGACTTGTGCTTTTTCCTACGATTTCCTTGTGCTTTTCCAACACCACACATGTCTAGATCTGGCTCTACAACACGAAAAATTTCATTATATTTTTATGGATATTYTATTCTTGTGTGATTTTTTTGTCTTGCCTATTTATAGATATTTCTGCGTCTGCGAGTTTTTTCGGCAAGTGCTGTTCTTGGTGTTTACGAGATAGCCTAAATTCACCATAAAAAATCCCCAATATTCAGGACTGCTGATGACGTTCTTGCTGCAAATTTTTTATTTACAGATTCGATATCCTCTATAAATATAATTTCAAAGTATTAAAGTGAACGAATGGCGATTTTTCTTATCGAAAATCGGATGGTATTACCCATGATACACCTGAAATACACACTGGAAAAAATCGCGCGCATTAAAGGTTGTAGATTTGATGTAATTTTCCAAAATTCTGTAAATTTGACGTAAATGATTTCCATTAAATTTACAGAATTTTGGACACTTACATCATATTTACATCAAATTTACGACCTTTAAAGCGCGCGATTTTTTCCAGTGACAATGATATATATTGCCTCTCAAAATGTTTGCAAATGACTGTACCAACAATTGAGAAGTATATTTATAAATGATATCTATTTAGGAAATGAAAATCACTTATTATCAGCTATTGATAGGTGCTTGTTTAATGAACGAGAGAGCACGTTTTATCGTCTGCCAATCGATTCTATACACCTGATAAACTATGAACTCGAGATCCGCAAAAGGCTGTTGCCACCAAGTGTAATAAAGAATAGAAAAAAAGTGTAAAAACAATAACAATATATATTTTGATAAGTGTGGCTTTTGTTGTGACTTGTAAAGTAAAAACTAACGCAAGTAAGTTTGTGTTGGTTAACATTTTAATGTTGTGCTCGACGTTTCGACGCTATCCGGCGTCATTCTCAAGAGAAAATTACATTGAGATATTCAAAAACAGAAAGTTATAACAAGATTGAGTAAAGTCCCATGCGGATAATGTTATGTAAAGATTTTCGCCTTAATAGAGTCTGATTGGACGTTGAGTGATGGCTTGATCTTTTTAATGAACAGCATCTCGTAGATGAGGCAGTCCGTTTTGCTCGAGCACTTTTTAAGAATTTTAAAGTTAGCGCTCAAGTCTGGTACCTTTGTAAAACCGTGGGAGGATTTATAGTGATTTCCGATGCTTGAAGAGTGGTGTTCCTGTATTYTTTGATATAAATGGCGGCGAGTATAACCAACATAGTCTGCATCACACAGACCACATTTAAATAAATATACAACAGATTGTTGGTTAATCAGCGGTGGTTTGGGTTCGCGCACTTTTATATCGTCTTGAATGGAACGACTTGTGAAGACAGGATATAGATTGATGTTTAGTCTATTGCTAAGTGAGTGAAGCTGTCGTTTGACTATGTTGGCGGATTTTTGGTCTTTGAAAGGAAGACTGAATCTTGCGGTCTTGATTTCGTCAGTGTTAGTGTTGTTGAATTCATCACTTGATTCTTTTTCTTTCGTCTTGGATGTAAATGAATTAATTGCCACGTCAATTAGGTCGCGTGGGTACTTTAACGCTACGAAGATTTCTTTAATTCGATTGCATTCCTCATGAAAGAAATCCCCTGTTGATGATAAACAATAAGCGCGGTGAAGCATGGTATGAAGTAAGGAACGTTTGTACTTATTATCGACATGACTGTGGTAATGTAGAAGTAATCCTGTGTTAGTTGCTTTTCTGTAAACTCTTGTACTAAGATGATGGTCGTACTTTATTACTTCGACTCCAAGGAATGGTAGGCTACCGCTATCCGACTCTAGCTCCATGGTGAATTCTAATGAGGGATGGATTGCATTTAATACATCGAGAAAGGACTCAGCTGATGGAATGCTGTCCATAATAGCTAGAGTGTCGTCGACGTAGCGCTTATAGAAAGATGGAAGTTGATTATTTCGTTCAAGTTTCTCTTCGAGTGAGCATAGGAAGGTATTGGCGAGAAGTGGGCCCAGCGGGGATCCCATAGCAACACCGTCTACTTGTTTGTAAAGAGAACCATCGAACTGGAACAGTTGACCTTTAGTAGCAGCTGCAAGTAAATCAATCAAGTCGGACTTACTAATGTCTAGCTTGTGTGTTAGATTGAACCAGTTGTCGGTGAAAGCTTTATCAGCCAGAATGTTGATGGTCTCATCTAGAGGAACGTTAGTGAATAGAGAACAAACATCGTATGAGACGAGTACACTGCCATCTTTCACAGAAACATCCTGTAGGTCGTTCACGAATTTGAAGATGTCGGTGATCGTGTTACTATTCGTAGATAGGGCTTTCAACTTGTTGTCCAGCCATTTTGCAAGCGGATAATTGTATGTACCAGTAGCTGATAGGATTGGACGCATAGCTAGATCTTTTTTGTGCATTTTGGGTAGGCCGTATAAGTGAGCGAGTCTTGAGCCTTTAGGTCGGAGGGTGTCTGCAATACCTTTAGGTAGTACTCTTACGAGGATCTCAGTCAAATCTTTCTCTTCCTGTAACAAAGGGTGATAGTGTTTAGGTGGTCGTCCTCTAGTTTTAGGTCTTTCAAGGCTAACTGGTTCAAACTTGGTAGTATCGTCAACAGAAGCTTTTCGTAGGAGTCTGATATAGTCAGTTCTGTTCATTAAAACTACACCTGATCCCTTGTCTGGTTTTGTGATGACAATGTCGTTACGTTTCTTGAGTTGTTTGATGGCTTGTTGTAGTGCTTTAGGTGGTTTTGTGGATTTGCATTCCATGTAGTTAACCGCGATGGAGCGCAAAGTAGTAGTGGCAAGGTCTTTTTTATCATCATTTAAGTCGTTCTCTATTCTCCCATATAACTTTTCGAAGCTTGATTGAATTTCAATATCAGGAATGTTACGTGGTAGTGAGAACTTAAGACCTCGACAAAGAACCAATTTTTGGAAGAAAGATAGCTTGTGTGAGGATAAATTTTCGATGTGTTTGTCGACATCGTAGTTGTTCAGCAGCTTAGCAATCTTCTTAGTATGCTTTGCCATGACTTCTTCGTACAGTTTCGTACGTTGTTCGGTTATGATCTTGATGATAGAAAGATATTTGAAGAGTGAGCAAGATGAACGGATACTATCGAAGATTGTAGTCAGCTCTTTCTTTAGTTCGGCATTCTGATGAAGTTTTGACTTTGTTTCTTCTTCCAAGACGCATTTTGAAAAGTGCTTGGATGATTTCTTCCACTTGGTTTGTTTGGTTTCATCGACTTTGGCGAATGTAGGTGTCAGGTCGAAGTTTTGGCAGAGTCTAAGGAACTCTATGCCACCATCGCATTTAATCTGTTTTTTACTGCAATCTTCAAGGCTTCTGAATAAGTGAACTTGACCATCGCGTTTTAAAATCTTGATAAGTGTGGCTTTTGTTGTGACTTGTAAAGTAAAAACTAACGCAAGTAAGTTTGTGTTGGTTAACATTTTAATGTTGTGCTCGACGTTTCGACGCTATCCGGCGTCATTCTCAAGAGAAAATTACATTGAGATATTCAAAAACAGAAAGTTATAACAAGATTGAGTAAAGTCCCATGCGGATAATGTTATGTAAAGATTTTCGCCTTAATAGAGTCTGATTGGACGTTGAGTGATGGCTTGATCTTTTTAATGAACAGCATCTCGTAGATGAGGCAGTCCGTTTTGCTCGAGCACTTTTTAAGAATTTTAAAGTTAGCGCTCAAGTCTGGTACCTTTGTAAAACCGTGGGAGGATTTATAGTGATTTCCGATGCTTGAAGAGTGGTGTTCCTGTATTCTTTGATATAAATGGCGGCGAGTATAACCAACATAGTCTGCATCACACAGACCACATTTAAATAAATATACAACAGATTGTTGGTTAATCAGCGGTGGTTTGGGTTCGCGCACTTTTATATCGTCTTGAATGGAACGACTTGTGAAGACAGGATATAGATTGATGTTTAGTCTATTGCTAAGTGAGTGAAGCTGTCGTTTGACTATGTTGGCGGATTTTTGGTCTTTGAAAGGAAGACTGAATCTTGCGGTCTTGATTTCGTCAGTGTTAGTGTTGTT